ATTTTATTTGAAAAAAATAATTCATATCCTATGAAAGGTGTATATTTTTAGGTCGGATTGAGTCAGGATGATCGAAACCCGACCAGTATCCATCCCTAATCTTAATTGATGCATGTATACAATATTCATCTTATTAAATGTTAACATAAATATTATTAAATTATAACACTTTAAATTTGACTTGAATTATTGAATGTCCCCAAAATATTATGTCGAGTCAATCGAAGTGTCCCAAACATTAAGATAATATATAAAATAAAGTAATTGACTTTTAATTGTCGATGGCTAAAATAAAAGAAAAACACGCTAATAGTGATGATTTTACAAAAAAATATAATTTAGTGACCAAAGTAGAAACAAATTACTGGGACAGTGGCTAATTGTGAAGTTTACAAAATAGTTTTTAATTCTTATGGCTAGCATTTAAAGAAAGGGAAAGCACACCGACTGCAAGCCAAAACGACTGTCCCAAACAGCACAAAACGACAGGGACAAAAGACTAGAAAGGGGAAGTACACGTTTCAACCGATTTATAGAATATCTTTAAATTGTGGTCGTTGGTTTTCACATTGTTTTATAATCTGAGGGTTTTTATCTTATTACAGGTACGGTATAATTGAATAGAACAGTATTTGTTCGTGAACAATGATTGTTAAGTTAAATAAATGAGTATGAATAATTTTTTTATTCATTTAATAAATAAATGAACAATAATAATTATGTGTTCAATTCACTTATGTTCACAAACAAACTTGTTTATTTTTTTTTATTTTTATTCTTTTTACATATTAACTATTGATTATGCATGGACTAAGTTGTACAAATGGTGAAATTTGGAGTTTAAACAATTAAGATTAAGGAGTTTAAATACAGTGAAGTATTTTTTTAATCATTTTTTAGCTTGAAAATGAATATTTTCCTGAATACTAGATGAATATGTTCGTGAATATGTAAATGAATAATAATCGAACATGTTAATAAACATTAAATGAATATGCTTGTAAACGCTAAATGAAAGAACACTAACATCTTAAAAAATTAATAAATAAATATGAATATGATATTAAAAATTTCAAACGCACATTAACACCTTTAAAAATAAATAAATGAACATGACCTTATTCGTTCAAGCTCGGTTCATTTATACATCTAACTATAAAAGCAATTGATTTGCATTAATGTAAAAAATTAAAATGATTTTACATGCTTTATAATTTTTTTAAAGATTATTATTTTAATAATTTTTCAAGTTGAGACGATAATTTTAGAAGAGATAATTATATATTCTTTAAGCATATATTATAAAACAATAAAAATGTAGTAAGAAAAAAAATAAGATTGTACGAAAATTGTTTAAAAATAAGTTAAAAATGTATAATATTCAATAAAATCATTATCAAATGAATATAGTTTTATTAAAGTTATTTTATATTTTTTATTAAGCTAAAAGTGATTACAAAGTAATATTTGTTCTAGGTACTCTCAACCATTTAACAATGAACGTTCAATCAACCTTGCAGTCGCGAGTGCTCAAACACATAACCTTTAAGAACAACAACAATTCATTTAATCACTAAGGTAAGTTGGTTCATACTATTTTTGATTAGAGGTCTAAGATTGATATTGTTTGTATTAATACGTATTTACGAAGTATAAATGTGTGATTTTATTTTTAATAAAATAAACTTCTTTTTTTAAATTTATTTCTTCATTCAATTTAGTTTATGTTTCTATTGCCCAATTTTCCTTTGATATTTGTGGAGCTTAATGATGATAAGTGTACTTTTCCTTGCTATTTTACTATAATACAAAAAGCGACGGACCAACTCCTAGATATTTTGATTATTGAAATACATTTTCGAATCAAGTGATATTGTCTTGGTTAAGAAATTGTTTAACAAAATATGTGGTATAAACCAATAAATTATTATAAAATTTTAAACTAAATTATTTTATAATAGATGACATTTTTATTTTTATTTTATTAGAACAAAAAAAAACATGGTTGGTTTATAAAATTTAAAATGGTTTTAGAAAATGAAATATATGTAAAAATTGTAAAACGCATAATGATACAATTACCCCAAAAGTTTGGGCAAATTGTCATTTTGTCTCTTTTCTTTTGATTATTTTTTCTCTTTATGTTTCGAATTTTGGTTAAAACATATTTTGTTAAATAAAAACAGTTAGTTAATTAATGATCAATATATTGTTAACGAAATACTTTTACTTGTGATTAACTGCTGACGTGGCACGTGCAATGGTGGAATTAAGTGGGAACATATTAAGGCCTTGACCCCCAAAATTTGAAAATTTTAACTCTAGACCCTTAAATTTAAAAAAAAAAGTCCCCCACAAAATTTTTAGAAATTCATATTAGACTTTTTATATTTTGAATGTTCTTAATTAAATTCTTTTCGTAATTTTTAAAAATTCTCATTAAGTCCTTAATTTTGGCGACTTAAGACCAGGGTAGCCGAGTAAGGCGAGTCACATCCATTGGGTGTATCATCTTAGTCTTCTTTTAATGCATTTGTAGTAATTTCATTAATTATACTTTTTATACGCTTCTGTCATTGGAATTTATGAAGGCCTAGAACTAAGGTAGCGGAGTAGTGTTCCCTTAGTTTAGGTTCTAACCCATTTGACTTTATCCCTTCTTGAAGCCTGCTATCGTTGAATTATGTGTATACTGCTCATCATGTTTCCTCTTTATATTTTTGGTCGGGTCTTACGTTTCTGTCTATATGCAGATATTTTTATGCAGGGGTTTATTTGCAGGGATTTACTTCCCATTACAGACGTGCATACGAGGACTGCATATGAAGATTGTTCAACTACGTATTTTATTTATTTATTTAAGCATGCATTACATTTTATCTTTATTATTAATTTTTTGACTGGTCGGAGGTCTTCCACGAAAGCTGCTCTCAACCTGGCGTTAGGGGACAGCCTACTACCCTACCTCCCCTTACCCCATTGCATATGAGAATAGGGTTTTGTTGTTGTTGTCGTCGTAGTCAAAATTTTCCTCAAAAAAATGTAAAGTGAACTATTCATAAAATTTTAAAAAATTAATTAAAACCTCTAAATTTTTTAAAGTTTTAAGTTGGTCTTTAAACTCTATCATTATGTCCTGCCACTTGATTAGTGCTATGCTAAAATAAATACGTGGAATTTGACATTATTGTTTTAATACAAATAAACTTGAATAAACAAAGAGATGGGCAGCAACCATCAACTTTAGTGTTTTGTATAGTTTTTAAGGGAACTCGAAGCCGTGGAATTTTCCTTTTTACTAAAATTGAGCTAAACATTCGGCATATATTGCAGATATTTAGTGTATGGGACATATGTTGTAAAGCACTAAACTACTATCATGACTAAGACATGACAAAAACCAATAATAATAACAATAATTAAAGTTCAATATTATACTAAAATATGGACATAAATTCGTCGTTAATATATATTTGTTTGAGAAATCATTTTATTATTTTTTATCTTTCAAGCAATTTAATTTTTAATATTATATTATTTTAAATAAAAATCGGTAACTGACTAACGTTTAACATATTTTATTGACTAAATAAAATAAGAATATGGACGTGATATATCTACAGATGTGATAGTAATGGTGTGAGATAATATTACATTAAAAAAATAATATTAAATAATATTTTCATTAAATTAATATGAATCGGTTTAATAATTTTACATTACATCATCTCATCGATTTAAAATTTAATAATTCAAAAAATGAATGTAGGAAGATTTGAACTCATGCATAAAAGATGTAAGAACAACCATTTAATTATTAAGTCAATCAGAACAAATTAATTTACCTTAGTGGTTAAAGGAATCGTTGTTGTTTTCTAAAAGTTATGGGTTCGAGCATCAACAACTGCAAGGCTAATTGAGCGTTCATCGTCAAATGGTTGAAATTAGTTAGAATAGATATTACTTTGTAAAAAATAGTGAACCACAAAAGATGATAAAACTTTTGAAAGACCACCGACAAACTACAAATTAGAATCGAGCGACGTGAAAATATTATCCACGAAAATGTGTCATAAAGACATAAGAAGACATGTCATAAAGACATAATAATTAAAAATAAAAAACAAGAAAAAAGATATAATAAAACAAAAGAAAAACAATAAATATCGACGATCAGTAACTAGTATCAAAATTGGTGACGAAGTCGATCATAAAGATAAAGAATAAAAATTACTGACCATAATTAAGGAAAAAAAGATAAAAAAAAATACTAACCACAATTAAGGGGGGGGAATTAAATAGTATAAATTATTGAGCTTTCATAAATTAAATAGATATGAAACATATAAAATAAGATAACAATACGAGAGAAAAAATAACATTTGTTGATTAATGATAAATAAGAGACACAAAAATTTATAAATATTACTAGTAATTATGATAGTAAAATTATTCAAATTCTACCATCAAGTGTTTAGTACAAGTGGTTAAGATTTATGAATTTAAACTAGTAAGGTCAAGTTTGAATCCTATCACTGTTACTCTTGGTGAACAATTTAACCTAATTGTGTCTTAGATATGCCATGATCCCTAATTAGGAGAGTCACCTCTGACCTAAATTTTCTTATAACTAAAAAATTATTCAAATTTTATTAATTATAGTTATGACTATAATGTTGAGTTTTTTTTAAATAAAAGATAAAATAGTATAAAAATTATCACTAAACTTATTGAACTATTATAAAATGATCCTTAAACTTATCATTATTTTATAATAGACAATGTTTAGTTTATAACGGTTTGATATATTTAATGATTATTTTATAATTTTTAAAAGTTTGTTTGTTAAGATAATAATTTTAGTATAATTTAGTGACCATTTAAGCTAAACAAAAATACAACACAAATAATAATAGAGAATGAGAAATTGGAAGTTTTCAAGCAAATACTCCATATAAGAACAAAAATAAAATAAAACAAAAACAAACAAACAAATTCCAACAGATCTCAGTCCAAGTTGTGGTGTATGTCTCATCTTTTCCACACTCCATTTTCCAGATTTTCCCGGTAAACAAACAGCCGATGAACCCCACACCAACTTATTAAATTCATTCACTGCCCTCTTCTCTTCATCTCCGTTCAAAAGCTAACCAAGAAAAAGAAAATTTCATTTCTACCAACACGTTGATTGACTCAGCCTCTCAGTCTACATCAATTCTCTTGCAATAATATATAATATGGGTTGATATTTTCTCTCGTTTGCAGCTTTTGTTTAATCTTTTGAGGGGAAGCAAATTAAAAAGATTGAATTAATGCTAGCTGTGTCACCTTTGAGGAACACAAGCAAAGATGGAAGCAAAGGAGAGATGAAGAGTTTTACTATCAGCTCCGAAGAGTGTCCGGATTTTGCAGACGGGAACTTACTCGAGAGTATCGATTTCGACGATTTTTTTCTCGGCATCGACGTCCAAGGCGATGTGTTGCCGGATTTGGAGATGGACCCCGAAATACTTTCCGAATTGCCTGCCGTCAGCGGCGGCGAGGAATCGGAGATGAACACATCGGTGGAGAAAATCGACGAAGGAGATTGTCAAAAAGAAGAAGAAAATAAAAAATCGAGTTCGAATCAAGGCACCGAGAAACTTGAAGTTGCTAAAACACCTTCCAAAGATGGTTATAAGGGAAGAAAATCATCAGCAAAAGCAAAGGATAACAACAACAATCCAGGCACTCGGAAAGTGAAAGTAAGTATAATGCTTGAATTTTCAAATAAATTTAGAATCGAATTAGGTCGAACTCGTTTCGGTCCGTGGACTAAACATCCCTTTAATTATTTGAACATGGATTGGACGCCGGATCTTCACCGGAAATTCGTGCAAGCGGTGGAACAGCTCGGAGTGGATAAGGCGGTGCCGTCGAGAATTTTAGAGATTATGGGAATTGATTGTCTAACTCGCCATAACATCGCCAGCCATCTTCAAGTAAATATTTTAAACATTAATCCCTTCTTCTTTTTTCCTCTTAGTTAATTATTCTTCTTAAAGAAGAATAAATTTGTTGTTTATTTCCATTCATTTCATCGCTTAAAATTTTAGGAATTCATTGTTGAATTTGTTTTCAAACTTGTACTCAGAAATATAGATCTCATCGGAAGCATTTGCTAGCTCGTGAGGCGGAGGCTGCAAGCTTGATCCACAGGAGGCAAATCTACGGCGGAACTACGCCGGCAAGTGACGGAGCCAAGCGAGATATGAGCCTTTGGCTTCCACCTACGATGGGTTTTCCGCCCATGCACCACCAAAACCACCATTTCAGGCCTTTGCATGTATGGGGTCATCCCACCATGGATCGATCTTTAATGCACTTATGGCCAAAACATCTAGCGTCACACACACCGTCCCCTCCGCCAACGGCAGACCCCGGATTTTGGAACCACCACTGTGTAAGCTCACCTTCTTCACTAGTACGGAATTACAGATATAAAAGATTTTAGCTGCTAAAGCATAAAAGTGGTGATTTCTTTATTCATTAGGTACCGAATGGACAAACCCCGGGAACACCTTGCTTTCCACCGCCATTGATGGCGGCGCCAACGGTAAAACAATCACTCATCACTGTTTTCCATGCTTCTTGTTTGTCTTCCTATATATATATATATATATATATAATACATTATAGACAATTAAATGATTAGGTTATTAATTTTGTGGGATTTGGTGCAATACCGGCGCCGTGCATTCCTCCCCACCATACCATGTATAAATCAGAAATCGACACCCCGACCGGACAATTAGGTCGCCACCCTCTAATCGATTTCCATCCGGTCAGTAGTTTTTTTCTTTGTTTTTTATGAAAAAAATTATTAACGGATTCGTTAATGTTATATAAAATTATATATTATCAACGTATTAATTATGAATTCGCATATAGTAACACAATAATTTTAATTCGTTTTAGTTAGAATTTCTGTAATATTATAGGATTGAATGATCTTTATATTTATGCATGCAATCTTTGTGAATTACAGTCGAGAGAGAGCATCGATGCAGCCATCGGAAACGTTTTATCAAAACCTTTGCTGCCGCTTCCGATCGGACTGAAACCGCCCTCGACCGACGGTGTTTTGGCGGAGCTGCAACGTCAAGGGGTCCCCAAGATACCGCCCTCTTGAGCTTGACCCGCTTACTACTTCGCCGACGGCGGAAAACCCTAAAATCCGAAAATCCGGTCGTCTCGAGGCTTCTTTCTCTTCGACTAAAGTTGTAGTGCAGCTTGGTTGTTGTTGGTAATGAAACCATTTGTTGTAATGATTTTATGAATGAGATTATTTGTTTGAATTTATGTTTGGTAATGAAAGCAACGTTATTTATCCACAATAATAGTTATCCTTAACACTAGGTTACTAAAATTGATCATCACAACAAGTTTATCTATTCAACCTTTTTATTATATTTTTTTCCGAGAGAGAATTATTTATGAAGAAGATGATGAGATGTGTATTACGTAAAGTTCAAGTATCTTCCTCTTTTGTGTCAAAGATTATTTATAATGATCTTCATTGAAATGTCGTGTACAAAATTATTATAGCTATATGTAAATCGACAGATTAGATATATATGATAGTCATACTTTATATTTTACTATGATAAATTACGTGTTTATCGTGAGTCTTATCTAGAAATCTTATTTATAAATAATAATTTAAAACCTTTGTTTGGAGAAGTCAGATTCTTTACTAAAATTGATCACCACAATAAATTTATTTTGTTGACTGTTGACTAATAATTTTATTCGAGAGATAATTATTTATGAAGAAGAAGGAGATGAGGCGTGTGTTGTGTAAAGTTTCAGTCTTTCTCGATTGTGTTGAGGGATATTTGTAATTGTCTTGAGATACAATATCACGTATAAAATTATTATGGTTATTCGTTGGTTGACAAGTTAGATAAATTTAATAGTTATATCTTGAATCTTATTTATTTTAGTTATTAGTTGTATATTAATTCGTTTTTTTTAGACAATCCATTTTAATAGATTACGTGTCATAAGCCTTATTTAGAGATATTGCTCATTTTAAATAAAGATCTTTATTTAGCTGAGTTAGATTTTTTTAAGAATTCTAATAAATAGAGGGATGTGTCTAGAAGTTTTTTTTATCAGTAAAGAGCTCATAGTTGTAATAATTTTTGGAGATCATCTTCGAAAATTTAATGATATTAAAAATTTATTTAACTTAAAGAATTAAATTCATAATTTACAAATTTGGCGATTAAAATTTTTCAAACACAAAAAATCATATCATGATTTTAATTAATAAATTATATCATATTACAATCCTATTTAAATTAATCCGTATCTAATTTATTGACTGATTAATCTTAATCTGGTACTACAGAGACGAAGACGATATTCTCAACCCAATTTTTTTCATTCGCAAACACTAAAGTTCAAACTTATAATTTTACTTAAAAAAAATTAGTGTATCACTAACTGATTGCTTGTAAAATCTACGTAATTTAATTATTTTTTACACTAATGTATCCGAGTCTTAATAATAGCTCTATCAAGTATCGACACGAGATTCTGTAATAAATGGAGACAAAAGATAGTGAGGGAGTAATATGTGGTGTGTATTTAGTGGGGCCACATTTAGTGACACATGTAACTCTCGTGAAATGGGGTGGATTGGCTACGGATGGTCCTACCTTTATGACTGCTGTCGTTTTTGTCACCCATACTCTTTTGGGTAAACTACACCATTCACCACTAAACTTTACTCTCTCCTATTTCATTCATTGTACTTTCAATGTTTTTAATTTTAAATTTTATATATTGAGTTTTTTTATCACTCAACTATGAGATGGATTATTTGATTATTTTTTTTCATTTGACATGTCATATTTTTATTAATATTTTATTATCAAATATGATTAAAATAAAAAAATAAATTTAAAAAATTTAAAGTATACCCTTAAAATTTAAATCCAAACTCTAAATTTTCAAATTATATCCAAAACTCTAAATTCCAAATTACAATCCCAAACACCCTCACCCTTGACATGTTCACCCTCCCACCGACGGTCTCACCGGTGGTTCAAGTTATGATCCCCACTACACCCTCACTTGAAGATAGCACCAAATCTTGAAATGAAAATGGAAACAACATGGTTGTTATGTTCCAAAAAGAATATTAAAATGTGTTGTCGTGCTGCCATTAAGAGAAAAAGGTGTTGTCGTGCTGTCATTGAGAGAATAAGATGTTGTCGTGTTGTCATTGAGAGAAGAAAGTGTTGCCGTTGCGTGAAGAATGTGCTACCATGGGGTGAATTTGTGTTTTAGGATAAAGGGTATAATTTGAGAATTTGGGGTTTGAGTATATAATTTAATTTTTTATAATCTTATATAATATTAAAATATTAATAAAAAATGGCATGTCATATGAAAAAATTATAAAATAATCCTTGTCATCATTGAGTGACCAAAAAATTTCAATTTATACATGTCAGTGAGTAAATTAAAAAAATTCAAAGTACAGTGAATGAAATAGGAGAGAATAAAGTTTAGGGATGAATGGTGTAGTTTACTCTTTTTTACTATTATTATTTAAATATTTTTTTATGTTGATATAAAATTAAAGTGGTTTTATATATCTTTACCATTCTTTATATGATTAATATTTTCATAATTTATCAATTTAATTATATATATATTATAATAAAAATTATATTTTCACTCAATATAATATAAATATTAAATTGATTTAAAATTTCATATACATAATAAATATAGTTATAATAATAAAATTAACAGTATAAGCAATAACATATTAATAATACAAAGAAATTTAAAAGTTAAATATATATTAAATTAATCGTTCTGGTAAACAACTTGATGATGCTTAAGTATGTCTCAAGTTCGAGTCCTTGTATATGAAAAATTCTCATTGGGAGACTCATCCACCAAAGTTAAATATGTGACCCAGATCGGTCCGGATTAATCAAGACAAAACTTTGGAAACCATAAGAACAACAATATATATATATATATATATTAAATTTAACAGTAGATAGTTACCTCCCTTATTATAACCAAAAATGTTAAGGAATGACATTTTGACATTCACCGTTTCGAACTATTATCTATCATTTTTTTTTCATCCGAATAAATTATATGTGGATCATTTTTGTTTAATTTTGTAAATTTTTTTCTTTCTTTTCATTTAAATTTATAAAATTTTCCTTGATTCAAAAAACATAATATTTGTCACTTCCGTTTTATTTAATTAAGATGCGATCATTTGATCATTAGGTAAATTGATTTGGTCATTAAATCATTAGGTCATTTGATCATTCAATTATTAAGTCATTCGGTCATTAGGTCATCCGATCGTTCGATCGTTCGGTCATTCGATCATTCAGTCATTAGATCATGCGATTATTGATCATTAGGTCATTACATCACTAGTTGATTCGGTCATCATATGAAGGGGCATGAATGAGCTTGTAAAATTCCCCCGTTTACTTGCCATATCCCACCAAGGTTTTGTTGAAAACCAATTGGAATCGGAAGTTCATTGATTATCCAAGAAACATGGAATATATTATTTCCCTATAGAGATCTGAAATTGTAAAATTTTCAAACAAAAATCAAAACTAATAATTGATATTAAACCTATTTAAGGGTCAATTTATCTGTTTGATTTAAACGAGAGGCAGACAAAATAAATATTTGAATCTGTCCGAATCAACTTAAACTATTTTAAAAAAATATTTTTCAGTTTCCAAACCCATAAGCATCTTAATAGATATTTTCCGACTTCTACAGCAGAACAAATCTTTAGTGCCGTTTTTTAACTCTATAACGCCATTTTAAAGTGCCGTTAAAAGTCCACCTGGCGCAGAAAAGGTAACTCTGAGCTTGATCTCCGGCCGGGTCTTTAGAATTGGATTGGGGTATTTTTGTTACAAATCAATAAGTTGTTTTTGAAACTTTAGTGGGAAAACAAAAAATTATTCAAACATTAGTGATCATTTGTGTAGTTTACCCTTTTCAATTTTATATATTCACTTTGTCACATCACCAATCCGTTTATAAGAGTTAACCCTTAGTAAGACAGTGATCACATATTGATTAAATAAAAACAAAAATAACCAAATATTATATTTTAGGAATCGAATCATTACAAAAATAATCTATTATTTTATTGGGCCTGTCTGGTTGCCTAAATCGATCCACTACTTCTACATATATATTTTAAATGGGCTTCAAAGGATAAACCGTTTAACTCATAAGTGTGGTTGGGGCCGATCCGTGTAGCCTGAACTCTTTCAGTCTTTCTGTAAAGAGCAAGGTCCGGTTTAAAAAACAGAGCTTGGATTGCTTGGGGAGAAATTAATTTAAATTGGGGTAAAGTACACAAATGATTCACCGATTATAGGATGTTATTTTATTGAGTCTAATAATTATTAAAAGTTATAAAATGATTCTCTGATTATAAGGAGTTCTTTGTTGAGCCCCTCGACTATTAAAAGTTACAAAATAGTCGGACGACTATTCATTATGTTCCAAACTCATCTTTTTCCGTTAAAAAATTAATAGTCGTCTGAACTGGACGTTAACATGCGGACTGAGATAGGATAATAGTTAGAGATCATGAGATCAAATTTTATCACATCTCAGCCAGCATGTTAACGTCCAACTCAGGCTGTCGTTAATTTTTTAACTAAAAGGACTAATTTGAAACATAATGAATAGTCGTTTGAAAATTTTATAACTTTTAATAATCGATAGTCTCAACAAAGCAATTCCATATAGTTAGAGGACTATTTTGTAATTTATAATAACTAATGGAGTCAACAAAGTAGTATCCTATAGTCAAAGGGTCATTTTTGTACTTTATCCTTTAAATTTAAAAGGTATATGATGGCAAAATCTCGTTGATAGTGCGTTGATTTTTTTTTTTCACGAAATAGTGGGATCGCCAGATTAATTGCTCAAGTGGTGTCCTCTACAGTACCGGGGGTAGGTCGCCATGCACGCCCGGCGACCTACCAGGTCGCCATGCACGCCCAGCGACCTGGTAGGTCGCCATGCATGCCCTGCGACCTACCAGCCAACGACCTCCATGCCCATGCACGCCCATCTCGCCAAAGGAGCACGCCCATGCACGCCCATCCATGCCCTGCTGCATGCTCGCCTGCTCGCGACCTTGCCGGGACTC